ATTTCGGTCATGGACCAGTATAAAAATAATATAATATAAAATATATAAAGAAATAATGTACAATCATTTAAACAAATCAGATACAAAACCAAATCAGAATTGGTCTCTGCCATCTAACATCAGTTGTTAGCAGTCATCTGAAATATAAGAAAATCCCCCATGAACTTTGATTCTGTCCTTGTGATACTAGAGCAGGAGTAGGCAACCTAAGGTTCGGAGGCCAGATGCGGCCCCCCGAGGCCTTTGGACCAGCCCCAGGCCAGTCCTGCCGCCGCTGCCCGCTATGATGATATTGATTATTGTTGATATTACTATAGCTCATGTACTTTTGTATTGTCAATTTTACAAGGACATTTGTCATCAGCTGATTACCCTTCTTTTAACCAAATTTCCTGGACACACTGATGTTTTTTATCTAAGCTATTTGCTGGACAGTCAAAACTAAACTGTTATACTTAAGGTAGCAAAATTTTTGTTACCGCACTGGGTGATGCCAATGCCCACTGCCTCTCTGCATTGGAATTATGGCCCTTTTAAAGCAGGGGTGGGAAATGCCAGGGATTGGGCTCTGTGCAGGAGATCCACGGCCATCCCAACCCATCTCCTTCTTTTCCTTTTACTTCTAAAAATGCCTTGCTGCATCCCTAGGTCTACTTCTTGGTTGAAAGCATGCCTTCAGAACCTAAAAGAGCCACGGAGGTTAAAATACGGTGATATCATACACATACACATGCACTGCATAGGAGGGATCACTGGCATTTTTAGTACCAAAGTTAAAAATGGGCAGCTGAAGGTCTCAAAAACAGCCCCGAGGGCCAAATACAGCCCCCAGGTGACATTTTGTCCACTCCGATTTTAAAGACATACCTTTGCCCGTTTCATGAAGGCCTCTTGGGCAGCCTTCTTGTTCTCAGGTTTGCCAGACCAGGCAGCAAGAGCCGATGCCTGTAGGGCCCGTCCGTAGGAGAAAGTCAACTTCCAAGGTTTAGGTAGAGGGCACAGATTGATGGCATTGAGGTTGATGGAAGCCTCCTCTTCACTTTGGCCCCCAGAAAGGAAACAGATTCCTGCAATTCAAATCAGAACACAAGGGTTGTTGTTGTTGTTATGTCTCTTCAAGTCATTTGTGACTTACGCAACTCTAAGATGAACATATCATGGGGTTTTCTTGGCAAGATTTGTTCAGAGGATGTTTGCCATTGCCCTCCCCTGAGGCTGAGAAAGTGTGACTTGCCCAAGGTCACCCAGTGGGTTTCAATGCAAAGCTGGGATTTGAACCCTGGTCTCCAGAGATGTAGTCCAACACCCAAACCATTACACCACGCTGGCTCTTAAAAACAAGAATCCAGAAGCATAAAGACCCAAATGCCTACTTGAACAGAGAGGAAGGAAGAGCTGGATTAATCACAATGATGTATACCGGTACATCACAGCATATGACCTGGTCAGTCTCTGTGAACCTGGTTTGATGGTGGAATCAAGCAGTTTATTTAAAATATTTTTATACTACCTTTCAAGACAAACGTCTTCTCAAGGCAGCTTTCAAATAAGAACCCATAAAATACAAATCCAATTAGCCAGCAAGCGTGTTTTCTTTTCATACAGACCAAAGGTGTTTTTTTTAAAAAAAACAAAACAAAAAACAGTAACTAAAATTACAGCTTTTAAAATATAGACCAATTTCATTAATTCTATTAAAAGCAGATTAACACAAGGAGATTTTAAAATAGAGAAGGATCAGATGCATCTTGCATGGGATGGGTGTTCCATGAAGAGAGACCTATCAAAGAAAATGCCCCATCTCTTTTGATCATGA